TCTTTTATTTTAAAAAAATGGGTCAATCGAATACCTTATTTCTTACTTGATCTGCGTCTTACCAAAGATGTGTTGGTTTCAGGAGTCGGTTAAAGTCAAGGAAGGATTAACACCCTTGAACTACCCTTTCGGTACTACGTAATTTCCAGTTGTCTTCAATTAAGAAAATTTTAGTTTAAATTAAAAGGTAAAAATAACGATCCAAAATTACTTACCTCTGAATGATTTGAAAAGTGTACCCTTTAAAAGTCGAGAATGTGTTAGAAAAAAAGGTAAAGAAAAACAAATAAGACAAAAAGAATAAAATAAAAAATGAAGTAAATAAAACAAGATAAAGAAAATAAAAAAATAGAGAAAAGATAAAAAGTAAATAAAAAATATAAATATAAAGAAATTAAAAAAATAAAGATAAAGACAAAAAATGGATAAATAAATAAATAAATATGAATAAACGAAACGAAAATAAAGAAAAAAAGTAAAATAATAAATTAAAATGAAGAGAAGAGAAGAAAAATAAATAAATAAATAAAATAAGTAAGATAAGGAAAAAGTAATAGTAAAGAAAAGAGATATATACACATTAATAAGACAAATAAAATATAAATATATATAATAAACATTAAAAATTTTATCCCCATCACTTCATCGAAAGTGGGGGAAATTATGGTGATTAAAGACAAAGGTAGGGCCAAGTAGGTGTGTAGGTAATACATATGTATAATAATAATAAATTATAATAATAATAATAATAATAATAATAATAAAGACAAAAGAGTAAAATAAAATAAAATTAATATAGTACAATAGTAATAAATGAAAAAACCCCGAAAATAATAAAAACAATATAGAAAATAAATAAATAAATATATATATATATATAATATATAAAATTATAAAATATAGTACTTAAATAAAAAAACCAAATAAAAATAATTAAAATATATATAAATATTAGGTGTATAAATAAGATATTAAAAAAATATGTGTATATATATATAACAAAATAAATAATATAAAATAATAAAAATAATAATACAAGGATTAAATTGAAAAGGAAAAAAAGTTAGAGGTGAATTTAAAAGGAATTCGGGACTTTAAAATGATTTTTGGGAGCCAAATTAAAGCATTAAAAAATATGGGGACCAAATGGGGATTATCCCCTTAATTCTTGAAAACACACGGACCACCCTAACATTGGTTCGGGTCGTGGGTCGACTTACGGTTAGTATAAATGATAAAACCCAAACAATTGTTTTCATTTTTCATTTACAAACCGAATCAAAGCCTCTCGTCCCTTGATTTCTCTTCATGTTCTTGAGTGTTCTTCACTCTGATGAACAAACACCCAATTTACCAGAAAATGACAACCGCGCCGCCGGTCATCGACAGTAAAATTAAAAAAAAATCTATTTTTTTAAAGATCCTTGCACCCTCGTTCCGAAAATTAACATATTTTTCCAAAATTCGCCTCGTGGGGGTGTAGATCTAGAAAAGAAGATCCGAACACCCCCCTTCGGGTTATCGACGCAACCCACTTTTGGGTTATTCGAGGTCAAAAGCAAAACGAGAATCGAAAAGCATGCAACAATAACAACCGAATAATGGTAAAAGGAAATACCTTTTTCTTTATTTCTCGTTCGAAAACTTTACAAAGGCTCGTATTTTCTCGTCTATTTCGTAGTATTTTTGTGCCTAATATCGTATGTAATCATGATCTCTTGTGTTTCAAATACATGGGTATTTATAAGTATAAAAGAAACATATTTTTAGAGTTTGATTCCGAGTAAAACTCGGTTGTTTGATGTTGATGAGTCTACGACTCTGATTTGTTATTTTATGGGTTGTTGCCGAGGAAACCGCATTGGTTGCGGGCTGTTGGAGAAGCGGCGTTGAAGAGGCTGGAGTGCTGACAGGAGTTTTGGAAACCGTAGCTTCAATGGGTCCCGAATCGGTTCGGGTGCTCCAGCGGGTCGCGGGTTCCAGGCCATTAACGGGTTGGACCACTGCTTTCGGTTTCTGTTGGGTGGTGCTGGGCCAACTAGGTTTCGGGCCTTGCAGCATTGTTGAATCTGTAAAAGAAGAAAGAAATGAAATAAATATGATGTATTTGTATCATACAATAATAAAATAATAAAAGAATAACATATAGTCGGACGTAAAATTATTGTCCACAAGAATAAATAAGGACTAAGTGGGTCCCCTTGTTTGAGGCCTCGCTGAGGGGTAAATACTTTTTCCGCAACACCGTTGGTTACAACCGAATAGGACACCGAGCAAACGCATCTTCGGACTAGTGTAATCCAGTCAGCCACATACACCATGCGTGTCATAATGTCCCACAAAAAATTCCATTCCACTCTATCATATGCCTTGCTAATACCCAACTTCGGAGCGAAATATCCCATCATTATTGAGCGCTTATGAACAAAAGAATAAAGAAGTTCATAAGCCGAAATCATATTGTGTATGATCTGTCTACCTAGAACAAACACATTTTGTGCTTCATCAATGCAGAAATTTAACTACCCTTGCATCCGTATCACTACCATTTTGGAAACAATTTTAAACATGACATTACAAAGGCTAATGGGACGATATTGTGATAATTCCATAGAAGACTTTATCTTTGGAATTAATACAATGTGTTAAGTTTACCAAAGTCATGTCATGTTGGTATTTAATCGACTCAAGGCAAAAACGTGCCACCTCTTCCTCGACTATATGCCAAAAACGTTGATAGAAAACTGCCCCAAGTCCATCATCACCTGAGGCTTTCAAGGGGCTCATACTTCAAATAATCGCAATGACATCTTCGTGCGTAAATTCTTGTAGCAGTCGACTATTCATATCGACTGAGATAGCTGGAAAGATACCCCCTGAATTCGGGGGGTCCACATCGCCCCCATTTGAAGAAAATAAATTCATGAAGTAACTGCGAGCCACTGCCTCAATCTCTCTCTTAGACTCCAGTCGTGCACCCGAATCTGTCTCAATGGACGAAATTCAATTTATGCTCTTCCTCTGTGATGCAAAGTTATAAAAGAAAAGTTACTATCTCCATTTTTCAGCCAATTCACTCTCGCCCTTTGTTCCTAATATTAGAGGTGTTCATTTTTCGGTTTTAATCGAATTAACCGACCGAACTGAATTAGTTCGGTTAATTCGGTCGGCCACCGAATTAATTCGGTCGGGAACGATTAATAAATTTTTTAGAATTCGGTTAACGGTTAATTCAATTCGAAATCGGTTAATTAACTGAATTAACCGAAATTAAATTTTAAATTTTAAATATATTATATATAACATATGGGCTCAGCCCAAACCATTTAAACTCAATTAATAATTTAATATACAATAACTTTTAAACCTAAATCAATATTTATTAATTAAAAAATCCATATAAAATTTTTATTTTGTAAATTGTTTTTTTAATTAAAAATATTCAATTTTTTATATAAATTAGAAAATTTTAAAAAATTTCGGTTAATACGAAAATTAACTTAAATTTATTCGATTTGATTAATATTTTCAAAAAAAAATTCGGTTCGATTAACAGTTAAAGAAAAAAATTTGATTAATTCGATTAATGATAATTCGGTTCGGTTGACCATCGTTTTAACCGAATTAACACCCCTACCCAATATAGTTCTGATTTGTCTATTTCCAGGTTTAGATGCAGTTTTGTGTCAATCAGCTCTCATAGAACATTTGATGTAGGATATAATTCTTCTAGGTCCCTCAATAGCTTTTGTAACTCGTCGATTGTGATTCGTCGTTCACGACACAACTTCCGAAACCAATGATCAAGGCTCTCCCTAACACAATCCAAACGGTCCAAAAGAAAACCCGAATGAGAGTCCTAAAGTCGTCAAACCTCATGTTCGCAAGAGTCTTCTAACAGACATGGGGATTCAAACTTAAATTGCCAATGTCGTCTATCGTTTGCCCTAGGACTAATACTCAACAATAGCGGATAGTGATATGAAATCCACTGAACTAAGTGAGTCAACAAATAATTGGTCTACCTGTTAAACCAGATGGAATTTGCGACGCCTCTGTCTCACCTCTCTCGAATATTTGTTTCGGCCTATATTTCTATCTACCAGGTAAACCATGGCCCGTTATATCCTAAATCCTCAAGCCCACATTCTCGCAACACATTTTGAAACGCCTCTATTTGTCTTCCATTACGCACTTGACTACCTTGTTTCTCAGCAGAGTACATAATCTTATTAAAGTCCCTAATAACTAAACACGAAATATTAGACTTATCATCTATCTGACGTAAAAGATCCCACGACTCTCTCATTCTGTGTTCTTCAAACGCCCCATGAAAACCCGTTCATCTCGATTGTTCTCCTTCCCATGTGATGATAATAGCAATGTGCATAAACGAGAATGATTTTAGTAATACTTCACAATCACCCCGCTATGCCAAGCATAAACCACCGCTACTTTCTATCGAACTAACATCAATTTCATTCATAAAATCATGTGATCTTCTAACCTTCTCCATACAATGACTCAGTAGTTTTGTCTCAATTAAGAAAACCACAGAAGGGTTAGCGACCTTCAGCACATGCCGAAGACGCTTCATTGCCCGAGGCTGCCCCAAGCTTCGGACGTTCCAGCTTAAGAGTTTCATTGAGATCAACTGGCCTACTAACACCGGCCTGCCGCTGGTAAATGTTACTCCCCTTTAGATTGTGAGAATGTAGAAATAACACCAGACTGTGGGGAATGCCTCTGGCGTTTTGAGCTGTCCACTTTGTCAATAGGATTTTCCTCATCCGCCATTGTTATTGTTACATCTGTAGATGACTGAAGAGCCAACCTTCGACTTGTCTCTAGAACTGACATATTTCTGGCTCCATAATCTTTGTTTGCGGCCGACAGAACCAGGGGGATCCCCTCCCACTCTCTTTTAAAGCTCTCAAGAGTATTACTAGTACCAGTTTGTGCAAATGGTTGTCTCATCTTTCCTTCATCTTCTCCTTCCCTTAGCCAGGGCTATATAATTGTCCTCTTTGTCTCGGAGGGGCATGCAACGAATTATCCCATTGAAAAACGAAATCCTGCTTCTCATAAAGAATACGAATGGGGCAGAAACCTTCCCCGTGGCCTGACTTTTCGCATATGAAGCAAAATAAGCGTAGTTTTTCGTATTGAAAAGCAGCATAAACATGGTTCCTATTCGGTAGTGCGAGCTTTTTGTTTCTTTTAAGAGGTTGCCGAACATCAATTCTCACCCGCGAATGAATACAACCTTTATAACCTAGAGAAACATCAGAGGCATCATACTCCAAAAACTCACTGATAAAGTTACCGAACAGCTTAGCCATCCTTTCCGAAACAAACCCTTCCGGAAGATCAACAATTCTCACCCAGAAATCAACAATATTTAACGACACTAGCATCAGATCTTCTTTCTCCTGTAGCATGTGTAGGACCAGTAGGTGGGTATTAAAATACCAAGGACCCTCCTTATCAATTCTGTTAACGTCAACTACATGATATAAGCGAAAAAGATATCGCCCCTTCCCCAGTTCAGAGATAGCTATCCCTCCAATGGGGTGCCAAACATTTGCCAACGTGGTACGCATCACTTGGAAGTTTATTGTGCTAGACGTAAGAAAAGATCCTACAAAACAGTTGCTGAAAGATAACCAATGATTCTTGTTCTCCTGGTTTCAAATGCAAATCATCCAACCGTTTTTCTAAATCTCCCATGACCGAAAGCGCAATCAATACAATCCAGTAGAATCACCAAGAATTGACAGAACATCACAATAAAGGCAAAACCCTAGAAAATTTACTAATATAAAAGGGCAAAACCCTAAAACATGTCATATGACAGAGAGAAAAGGGCAAAACCCTAACCGAAAGCTACACCAACATAATTATAACATAAATTAAAACATAGATTAAAGTATATTTATAATATGAACTTTAAATTATTTTATTTGTAATAGTTATAATATGCCATCATTTTATTAAATGAAATTAACTTATTAAAAATAAATAGTATTAATTTAATAAAAAATTTAAATATCGTGTAGTACAAGTAGATGTGTTGTACAAGTAATAGTTAATCAGTTGTTTTCATTCAAACAAATGTTATTTTGACCAAAATAAAATATTTTTAGTCAATTACTTATATTTTTATATAATAAATAATTAAAAATAATAATATTATACTTAATTGAATTTGATATTTTTTTAAAAATAATTCAAAATTTATATTAACTCGAAAAATATGTTTCAAATGTTTTAATTTCTACTGCACCCGAGCAGAAAAAAAAATTCACGTGGAACCCTTGAAATCTAAGGAAAAAGTAATGATGTAAATATACGAGTGTGTTTGGCTAGATTTGATAAATTTAACTCATACTCGATTACTCGAATCGATTTATTAGATCCAATATCTGATATAGTCTTGAATATGATAATCCAAAATTAATTTGAAACCTTAAATAAATTGAATCGAACCAAAATCTATCCTAATTTTAGTTGAACCAAAAGCAACTTGAACTAAAATTAACCCAAACCGAAACAACTCGAACTGAAAGTAACTCGAATTATTTTACCCATATCTGATTCTAACCGAACTGAACTTCAACTTGATTTTAACTCGATAATTGAATCTAAGTAAATGAATAAATTATTATTATTATTATTATTATCTATTTTTAATAATTTGATAAATATTAAAATGATACATATTTTATTCTTATTTTTTATTATATTACTTGTTAACCATTAGTCTATCACTTTTAGTAATAGTTGAATGGTTCAATAGTAACATTTTCTTATTTAAAAGATCATCTCTATATCTGATTCAATAAATTTTAAATTATTTAAAAATTATTTATATCAATATTCATTCAAATATAATTATTATATTATCTTTTAAAATTCAACAAATATTATATTTATAATTAGACATCAAACATCTAATTAAAAATTTTATTTAAAAATTTTAATTGAGAATAAAATTTATAATTTAAAATTTAATTCTTCACCAAATAGGTTGCATCACAAACTTTTCAGGTTAGATCAATATAAAATTCAAGTCACACAATCTAATGTCTGATAAGTTCGGGTCAAATTGTCATCCATAAATGATAGTGTAATTTGAAACATTAAATGTTTGAAAGTTGAATTTGAACCTAAATGATAAGATTAACAAATAAAAATATATTTTTTCATATAAAAATATGTCAATAATTTTATATATACTTGATTAAACTCGTACTTAACTTAATCCGAATTGACTTGAAAATTTAAAGATTGGCCCGAACCAAAACTGTTCAATCCGATATTGACTTTACCCAAAAATTGACTGATCCGATATTGATCTGATTTGAAATCAATCGATCTGGTATTTACCCGAACCGAAAATCAACCTATTAGATTTTGACTCGACCTGATACCCGACACGACCAAACTTATCATTGACCCGAATTAAAATCAAACCCTAAATAACTCGACCTAACCCAAATCTGATCAGAATCAAGTCTCAAACTGAAATGACCCAACCCGATTCAAATGAGCCGTGTGCCACCTCTATGTTTGTCTGCAATTACCTTAGAGTGAAGTTGCTTAAAATGTCTCTTGTATTGTTGATTTATAGTGAATTACTCTTTGAGAAAGGCTCCGTAAGTATAGAATTAGATTTGAACTGCACGAATAAATAGTGTTTTTTTTACAATTTCAGTAGTTTGTTTAGTTGTAACTTTTTCATTGATTGTTAGGCAAAACAACACTAACAATGTTCACTCAAACGATTATACCATATGTTGATGGAATGCAATGGCAACTCGAAAATTCCTATACTATTTTCTTTCAGATATTCGATGTAGGTTTCTATAGATATCCTCTTTTTTGGTGATTAGCCTAATATTCTTATCCATTTCTCGAATTTGTATGTCAATAGTTTGCACGAACCCCAGCGACCTCGGTAGTAAATGAATTATCGTTATTTCTTGAGGTTCCGGATTCGAGCACCAAGAAGGTCAGAGGTACGAGCGTTCAATGTCGAATGCTTGAGAGTTATCTTTGGATAGATACTACCTTGTACTTACCTCAGATTATTAAAAAAAAGTATAAAACTACTCCGTCGATGGAAAGCACGAAATGAAAATCCGATGAGTTCAAACGATGGTTTAAGAGATCCGATGAAGATAATGATGGAAAGATTAGCAAAGATGAGCTGCTTTCTATGTTCATCTGTTTATCAAATTCTGGAACGGAATGAGTACATGTATTATCTAAATTCGAGTGAGTATCAAATATAGATATTTTAAGATAAATGAAAAGTTCGAATCTAATGTCAAAAGGTTCAAAAACGATGGCAAGATTTGTCAATACAAGATGAAGCGAAGAATCTGAATACGCATATCAGCATTTTGATATTTGTAGTACACTAAACTGGGCAAATTCAATACAACAATATCCTTTGAACTAATGATGGAGAAGGATTATATATGAAACCAATCAATAACTATAATTAACACCAACCTACCTTTCTTCCTGGGGAGTTTTAATTGATGGTTTATATGGAATCGGATGAATCCACTATACAAATCAAATCGAGCTATACTCAAAAAGGCAAATACATAAATTAAGAAAATAGAATTTTTCTGGTGTGATTCCTAGAAACAAAGACCTGGAAGAATATCTAAGTGGGCCCAAATACAAGATGAATTTGCACGAGAAATTAAAGTTAACATAAAAATTCATTGCATTCAATAAACATGTTCACTAAAACATGTATTGCTTTAAAGGGCATGGTGGAAGCTCTGCCATCAGACATTGCCGAAATACGAACAACTTCAATGGCAATGACAATGGGGCCTGTCACTTAGACTCATCATTTCTCCTAATATGTAGTTTTTTCACTTGAACTCTTCATTTCCCTAATATTATCCATGTCTGAAACATATTAAGACACGAGTATGAAAATATGATCTAAATATATGAAGAAGTGTTGAAAAAATGAATTTATGCAATGTCGGGTATATATCCATATCTGACGCCTATAATTCTACGTAACATTGGTGAGAGCTAGATCGATCTCAGAAAGTGCAGGTAAAGAGCTGAAAGGTCTCTGCTTTAACAAGTAAACGTCTAATATTTTGACTGTTCTAATAAGCAAAATAAACTGCAACTCAATTTGCAAGCAGGGCCTAGAAATTTATTGACACTATGCATTTCACATAAATACGCGATTGTCCATACCAAGTTTTTAACAACTATGCAAAATTGAAAACAAAATACCTGGATCAGAGCAGAGTGATAACGGGCATCATTCGAATCCTCGAGCAATATATTATAGCCGACATCATATATCAATTAGGTTTGTGATCTTATATACTGTATGATGGGATAAGAGTAATACGAGATGATTTATTTTTTGGAGATCATAACCCTTTTATATAGCTGATTTAAGAATCAATTATTGTTTATACTTATAACTCTTCCTCTCATCGAATTATAAATATAACTTTAATTGTATCTACATTTTTATTTCTATGATACTTCTAATACCTCATGACTTTATGTCATAATTGGTCACTTAATTTATGTTATATTTTATGATAACAATATACATTAAAAATATGCCCATAATTATTGAATTTAATCCAACAATTAAGACTATGCTTCGGTTGCTCGATGAATGAGTAATTAGCTATTCATTATGCTACGTAATGATATGGGCGGTTTTATCCTAAAAAGGTTTTTGTTTATGTCATCTATGATATTTTTTAATTGATGACATGTATCTGATGTATTGACCGATTAATTCAGATTAAGTACTAAAGAGGTGAGGACGATCCTCCTAACCCAATTTGTTTCATTTGCAAACATGTATCTGATATATTGACAAACTAATACAAATCAAGTAATAAAGAGGCGAGGGCGATCCTAATAACTCAATTTGCTTTATTTGTAAACGTTAGAGTTTGAATCCATGAGCTTGATTAAGGAATATCATTTATGCACTTTAGCAACCGTTGACAAATGCTAATCATGTATTGTATGTCATCCATGTTTAAGTTATTGATACTACATGGCCATCACTGTATTATCACTGTATTATTAACTACTCAAATAACTAGAACTTATAATCACGGTAGTCTTATGTTACGTAGCACCACACTATGTGCAGACACTTAATCCTACGAATTCCGGTAAATGTACACCAACAAGTATTAAGTATATTGTAATTTCAAGAAAAAAATTTACATTTTAATCAAGTAAACATAAACCATATTAAAAAAAAGGGAAAAATTAAATTACGCACTAAATTTTACTCTCCTATACTCATTGTATTTCTATTTTTTCTAATTTAATCACTGAACTTTATACATTGAGTTTTTTGTCACTCAGCCGTTAACTTTCTAAAGGTGCTATGACGTAACAATCTATACCAAAATGACGTAATTTTAAATATGATAGAAATTCAAATCTTGACCAAAACGACTTAGTTTTGGTCTAAATAAAAAATTATTTTTCTTTGGGTAAACTACTCCAGTAGTCACTAATGTTTGGGTAAGTTTTCATTTTCACCACTAATGTTTCAAAAGTTACAAATCGATCACTAACATTATCGTTTGTGACAAATTGGTCACTCGCCGTTAACAACCGTTAACAAACGTGACGAAAATCACACGTGGACCGTTTTATGCTTATCTGGATGGTGGACCACCCATTTGACCGGTGTTTTACCAAATATTTAATGAAAATTTAATTAATAAAATTAAATGGAAAAACCCAAAACCACCATAGCTCTCCTCTGTTATATTCAGTTAACTCAAAGCAGAGGGGAGGGGAAATGGCTTCGGGATTCTCCGGCGGTGGTCGAGATTTTTACGGTGGATTAACCGACAGATCTATGGGTACCTCAATCTGATTTCCCCGTCGCCTACTTCTTCAGCCACATCATCGTCTTCCTCCACGTGATCGATTGCTTATCCAGCTTCTGAACTGAAATAGATTACAAGAAGAAGAATATGGCTTTGGGAAGATGAAGAACCTGAGAAGGATGGAACGCAAGAAGGAAATAGGCGGGATTAGGAGATCAGTTGCGCATACAACGATGGGTGAGTTTAGCTTAATCCAACGAATGCAAGGTTCTCTGATATAACTATCCTAAACAAATCAAACACCAGAAAAGAAGAAGAAGAAATCAGTTGATCGTTTTTCATTTCAAAGAAGTTGAAACAAGGTGAAGAGAGAAGAGAAGCGACCCTGTTAAACCCAGTAAAAATATACTGTTGAGTTAATCGATCGATGGAATCGGCCAAGAGGGGGGTGAATTGGCAATTAAAAATTTGGTGGAAGCTTTTGCAGAAAATTGAAAGAAATTGCACAACGATTTAGAGTGGTTCGACTTTCTCAACCAAAGTATACGTCCACTACCTTAGCTATCCACACTAAGGATTTTCAAACAAATTCACTAATTTGTTCTTTCTTTTGAGGACAAAGAGTAACCTTACAAATACCTCAAGAATTATACCCCAATTCTTGAGCACACTCTTTTTCAAAGAGAAATACACAAATTTGCAAACTTACAAGGGAAAACCTCACAAGGCAATATGTTTGCACAATTCTAGAACAAGATAAAAACACTCAAAGATGATTACAAATGAGCACAAATAGTGTTCTTGAAAGCAAAATGAATATTGAAAGGAAATTTGGCTTGAATTGCACAAACTTGATTTTTGATGCTTTCTCTCTTGTTTCTCTATTGATTCTTCTAGATTGTTGTTGATCAATGGCTTCTAAACTTGTTTAAATACTCCTTCAAATAATTCTGAACGTTGGGGATGGTTAGTGGAGTCAATAGAGCCGTTTAAGTGTGAAAATAATTAATTAAAGCAGTTGGGAGCGTCAGTGCATCGATGCATACCCATGGTGCATCGGTGCATCAAGTGTAAAATTCAAATATTTTGACCGTTAGACCCTTAGTGCAACGGTGCACTAATAGTGCATCGATGCATAAAATGTATTCGATGTTTCAAAATAGCCAGAGTGCATCGATGCATGGTTTGTGTATCGATGCATGGTTTGTGCATCGATGCATCAAATGCACTGAGTGCATCGATGCATGTTATGTGCATCGATGCATAAAATGGATTCGATGTTCAATTTAATCCATAGTGCATCGATGCATGGATTGGTGTATCGGTGCATCATTTTGAAAATTTGATTTTAGGCTTGATTTTGGTTCAAAATACTTTGTGAAAATTGTTTCAAAAATATATTAAGTATAAAACACAATTTTACACATTTAGTAAGGTTTGAATTTGATCTTGAAATACTTGGAGTAATATTTTGATATTCGAATAATTAAATTGAATATACTAAGAAAATCGTTTGTAAAATCTTAAAATTCATTTAACTTAATTTGTTATATCGAAACATCAAAAATGTTTTCAACAATCTCCCCCTTTTTGATATAACAAAACATTTGTGTAATTTTAAGATTTTCTAAAAATTTGAAATCAATTTTGAAAAATTACTCCCCCTTACTATAACACTTCTCCCCTTTAACACTTAATATTTCTCCCCTTTTTGTTAAATCAAAAAGATTGTAGAATGTTTTAAACAGGGTTTTGAAAAGCATAGCCAATTGATTATAAGTAAATATAGCTTAAGCTACTAAGTTCACAATCAAAAGAGAGATTAGCCATTAGTTCCATAATCAATATTCATAAACAAATGTGAAATGACATTATTGGTCATATATGTCTAATGATGCAAAAATAAGAAAATTCAAACCAATTATATATATATTAAGTTCAAAATCCAATCATCCAAACCATAACAAATTCAAACAATTAACAATCCAAAACAAACAATCCAGAAACATCAAAATCAATCCAAGTTTTTTAAAAATCAAGAAAACATAACAAGGAAACAAGTTTACTCCATCGGAGGATCGGGAGAAGGATTGGGAGGAGGAGGATAATGAGCTCGAACTTCAAGAGTGAGAGCATCCATACGTTCACGCATCTCCCGCTGAAACTCAGTAATCTGAGACTTCATGGAGGCAAACCTCAGATCAAACGACTCTAAGAAAGATCGAAAATATGGTGGCATTTGATCTTCTTGTCGTGCCGGTTCCGGTGCAGGCTCATCATCTGGTACATGATCATCGATATCTTGCATAAGTTGTTGAAACTCAGGATCATCGTCAGCAGTCGGTGCCCGAGGAGGAGGAGGAGCACGAGAAGAGCTAGGAGCAGTTCGTGAAGAACTCGCTCCCGGAGTTTGCTTACCGGGTCGAAAGACCCAAAGACTGGTTTCCTCGTCTTGTTTCCAATCTGCTTTCTTCAATGATGTGAGATTGATTTGATTTTGGAGAGGGATAGGATTGTCGAGAGAGACGTTTAGACCAAGTTTGATAAAAATATTACTAAGAAGACATCCGTAAATCAATGTTTCAACATGTTTTGAAGGAACAATGTTTATGATGTCCACTAGTTTTCTAAATATAATGTGGGGCAGATATATTTTGATCTTATTCTTGATACAGTGCATCCACCATAAATCCCCAGCACAAAGAGTGGAGTACCTACCTCTAGATGGTCTAAACCACCAAGAGATCATCAAATGAAGAAAAGGATCATGATGAGATCGTAGAGTACTAACACTAGAGTTTGGAACATTGATGGGCATCGAATCAAGACAGGAGTCGACGTTTGAAGTGGAGGCCATTGATGACTTGATTATCGATATAACTCTTCCCAAATCGACTCAAGAGGCGATTAAACCTTCAAATGAGTGAGGCTCTGATACCAATTGTTGAGTTAATTGATGGAATCAGTCAAGAGGGGGTGAATTGGCAATTAAAAATTTGGTGGAAGCTTTTGTAGAAAATTGAAAGAAATTGCACAACAATTTAGAGTGGTTCGACTTTCTCAACCAAAGTCTACATCCACTACCTTAGCTATCCACACTAAGGATTTTCCAACAAATTCACTAATTTGTTCTTTCTTTTGAGGACAAAGAGTAACCTTACAAATCCCTCAAGAATTATACCCCAATTCTTGAGCACACTCTTTTTCAAAGAGAAATACACAAATTTGCAAACTTACAAGGAAAAACCTCACAAGGCAATATGTTTGCACAATTCTATAACAAGATAAGAACACTCAAAGATGATTACAAATGAGCAAAAATAGTGTTATTGAAAGAAAAATGAATATTGAAAGGAAATTTGGCTTGAATTGCACAAACTTGATGTTTGATTCTTTCTCTCTTGTTTCTCTATTGATTCTTCTTGATTGTTGTTGATCAATGGCTTCTAAACTTATTTAAATACTCCTTCAAATGATTCTAAACGTTGGGGATGGTTAGTGGAGTCAATAGAGCTATTTAAGTGTGAAAACAATTAATTGAAGCAGTTGGGAGCGTCAGTGCATCGATGCATACCCATGGTGCATCGGTGCATCAAGTGTAAAATTCAAATATTTTGACCGTTGGACCCTTAGTGCATCGGTGCACTAAGAGTGCATCGATGCATCAAATGCATTGAGTGCATCAATGCATGGTATGTGCATCGATGCATAAAATACATTCGATGTTCAATTTAATCCATGGTGCATCGATGCATGGATTGGTGCATCGGTACATCACTTTGAAAATTGATTTTAGGCTTGATTTTGGTTCAAAATACTTTGTGAAAATTGTTTAAAAAATATATTAAGTATAAATCACAATTTTACACATTTAGTAAGGTTTGAATTTGATCTTGAAATACTTGGAGTAATATTTTGATATTCGAATAATTAAATCGAATATACTAAGAAAATCGTTTGTAAAATCTTAAAATTCATTTAACTTAATTTGTTATATCGAAACATCAAAAATGTTTTCAACATATACGCACGAGGAGTGAGAAGGTGAAGATCGACTGATCTATTTTGTAGTAATAAAAAAATAAAAGATAAAGAAATTGAAGAGAGATTGGTACACAGAGAAGGGAAAAGATAAGAGGAAATCGCAGCCTTGCAAGCACCTTTCCCTGTGAAGAAGAAAGGAAAAAGAGAGTAGCAAGAGAAAGCCAACATTATTAGTGTAAACTACAAAGCCAAAAGGGCTCATTCCTCCTGTTATGGTTGTTTTGGCCAGAATAGTGAATGCTATGGTGCAAGCTTCCATTATCCTCACCGTAAAAGGTGCTATTTCACTGACTATTTCTCTCATCATTACGACCATCTTCCCCATCGTTTGGCCGATGAATGGAAAAGAAGAGCCATTACTATATTCACTACCCACCAATGAACTTTTTCATTTTCTTCATGTATATCAATCAAATGCTCAATCATTAAAAATGATATTAGAAAGGTGGAAAAATTAAAATTAGAAGAAGAAAAGAGCTCAGCTCCTGCACCTTGTAATGCGACTGCAACCACGGTTGTAAGGGTTGGCCTGAGCTCTAGGTTGGCAATTGTAGTATGAAGCACCGCGCCGGGAGCAAGGCACGGTGTTCCTCTGCAGTGCACCGTAGCTTATGTACCTTGTGGTTACCAACATGCGTCGGCTGATCTCGGAGTCTAGCTCGAACTCTTCCCCGGCTAAGCATTCGGATACTGAGCCCTTACATGGCGATCCGATGGGTATCCATTCTAGGATCTGGTGTTTATGGTGATCCCCACTCGAATTAACAGTTATTGCAGTAGTCGTCGCTGCCGCTATGAACGTCGCGCAAATCAAAACAAGATTGCAATTGAGTGCTTCCATTTACAAATCTGAAGATCTCTCTCTGTTTTGCTACTGTGAGCACCGATAGCTATGGCTGTTTCCTTTACTTTCTTTCTCTGAAGAGTCTGTTTGGTTTCATTCTCTAATTTGGCTATCCTCGATGCTACTGTACAACAACCAAGCTAAATTTCAGTCGGTCAACCATCCAGGTAAGCAGCTAATGGTCTACGTTTGATTTCCGTCACCTCTGTTAACGACGAGTGACTAATTTGCCACAAACGATAACGTTAGTGATCGATTTGTAACTTTTGAAACATTAGTGGTGAAAATGAAAACTTACCCAAACATCAGTGACCATTGGCGTAGTTTACCCTTTTTTCCCTTTATTTTCTAGTCTTTCTTCCTCATTCTTTTACATATTCTTCTTCTTCCCCTTTTCTCTCTATTTCTCTCTTCAACCTCAATAAATCCATATTTCGGTCACTATGCCGACCGTCCTTCTAAATACACTGTACGTATTGGAACGAAAGATTTTTAGGAACGAAACTGTGTGAAATCTGCATTGTATTAGCTACAGTTATATTGTTCTCCACCATTGCAGAAAATAAAACAAAACAAAAATGAAAAGAAAAGTTCCTTCATTAAAAAGCTTTGTATACAAGTGTGCAACTCTATCGGTATGCTGACCATAATTATACTCATAATTACAGTAAAAAAATAAAAGGTAAAAATCTTGGGTGAAAACATGGCCTTAAGAAAGGAACTCGATAAACTTTTTGTGATAAACACCACCACTTCTACCAACTTGTCATTATCATAAACCTATTTACAAAAGGGTGGCCCCTTAATTCCATTTTTAACTCTCAAATCCCTTCATTTTGGGTTCCTTTCTTGATATCTACAATCAACCATTCACCTTGAGAGTTCACCATAATTATAGAGAGTTGTAGAGATTCCATGGATGCTCAGACCTTCTACTTCGTTAATGGTAGCAACCTTTTATCTCTCTCCGGACCACCTTTTCCCTTAAGACAAAAGACCAAACTTAACTCAGACAAATGATCGGAATGAGTACTAAATATTGATAGGGGTCGAAATATTGGACTATTAAAAAAGTATAAAGACTTATTAAGTATTTAAACTCAAAATTCAACATGAACTAAGCAACTTTAGTGATTAAGGGATTGGTGTTATCCTTGAGGTCTCGAGTTCTAGCACTGCTCATGTGGGGTATGAGCATTCATTGTTAACTAGTTGAGAGTTTTTGTACATATATTACTTGTATTCACCCTAGATTTATAAAAAAAAGAAAAAAAATCAAAATTCACAAGATAACACTTAATTTGTGTAATATTAAGACTTGCAATGACTTAAATTATTATCATACCAAAATTTTTTGAGAACACAAGCTTATCCTTTATTAATTCGGTCCTACTTAATTAAATATTTAATAATTTTTTTAATTTAAATATTTATTTTTACATAAACCAAAATACTATTAGACCAAAATTAAATCAAATATACAAATTTCATAGAGACAGAAGCCCCTTTGGGTCCTCACTATGCTCTGCCCCTGCCACACCTAGGGCTGTAAAAAGCTGACCGACCTATAAAACTGACTCGAGTCAAAACTATTTTTAACTTGCACTGTAACAATTCGAAACCGACTCGAGTCGAAACTGGTGTTTACTTGAATCCGAGTTGGATCTGTAAATCGTGGATCTGAACCCGACCTTAGAACGACTTGAACCCGAATTGAACCGAAAAAATGATACCCAAACCCGACTTGCATCCAACTGATACGAACCCGAACCCGAGATTGACCTGGTAAATAACTGGTATTACCCGACCTGTTTTCAACATGACCTGTTTTTAACCTGACCTATAAATGATCCGACTTGTTATTGACCTGATCTGATATTTACCTGACTTATATATTACCATGGACGAAATTATAAGATTTTAATAAAATTATGAGTTTTTGAGTTTATGATATAATTAAAAAATTAATATGATTAATTTTTAAATGTTATAATAAAATATTTATTATGATAATTACATTAATAAATAGACTTATTATATAAAATTATTTAATAAAATTATTTAAATGTAAATTATATAAAACATTATTAATAAAATTATTGGCATTGAACAATGATTAAATGTAAATTAATATAGTTTAATTTATGTAAATTATATAGTTTAATTTATGTAAAGAAAAAATAATATTAATAATGTAAGTATTTATTATGTAATTTATATTGACATTTTACATGATTAATACAAATAATTTTGGCATTGAAATGATAATTAATTTGATAATAAATGAATATTGGTATTGAATGTGATTAATTCTCTAAAATATGAAAAAAACTATACATTTTAATTTTTGTAAAGAAAAAATTATCTAACAATTATAACATACATAAAACATAATATAAAAGATAAATGTAAGTATTTAGTATGTCAAACGATCCAATTCACGCAATTCAGAGTAGAAGATTAAATTATATTAAATGAAAGTAAAGAAGATTAAAATTTTAGTATAATAGTGGGAGTAAGATCAAAATTAGACCCTTGTTCTATTTTTTAATGATGATTTATCCCGGTCTACGAGGTTGTGGATAGAGATGGGAAAACTGAAAAGTTTTTAAAATTCAAAATGGCTGAGATGGAAGGATGAAAATAATTCAAATTAGGAGCGGATGGCGCCATTACTTTATAAACAACTGCCAAGTGGCAACTGCACCTGCATGTTACCCCCATTATCTTTCACTCAATTTCTTAAAACTAAGCTTTTTAGTATTTAAATTATTAATTTTCATCTATTTAAATTTTTAATTTTTTAAAAATAATATCTAGGGGTTTATTTATTTAAAATTGATTTTAAAAAATTAATTCTATAAAATAAATTATATTTCTTAAAAAATATTTTCTAAAATTCATTTTACGATATTTAGATAATGTTACATAATTCATTTTTCACTTGTCGGTAATTACTAACTAATATTTAGGTTAATATTAAATATATAATTTATATAAACTATTGTTTATATAAATTATATATGAGTTATCAACTGTGTCTATAAATATATCGTTTAGGATTTAGGGTTTAGTATTTAGGGTTTAGGGTTTTTATAAATTATATACTTTATTACTTTATATAGTTTATGCATAGTGTTTCTATAAACAATATAAGTAATTTACTTTATATAGTTTATATATATATATTATGTTATATATATATAGTTTATATATACTATACATAGTTTATACATATATGTACTATAAGTTACATATATAGTTTACATGTATACATATACTATAGGTTACATATATTAACTATTTTTATAGACTATAAGTTAATGTTACATATATAATTTATATGAACTATTGTTTATATAAACTATATATGAATTATCAACTGTGTCTATACATATATAGTTTATAAAGTTTAAGGTTTAGATTTTAGGTTCATGATCTAGGGTTTAGGTTTTTGGTTTTAGGGTTCATGATTTAAGGTCTAGGGTTTAGGGTTTCTATAAACTATATTACTTTATATAGTTTATGCATAATGTTTATATAAACTATATATATATATATATATATAATCTATAGATTACTTATATTAGTTATACATACATATATATATACTATATTAATATAAATTATAATATATAAACTATATATTTATATAGTTTATACATATATAGTTTATATATATATATACCATATTAATATAAATTATAGTTTATAAACTATATACTTTTTATAGTTTATAGATATATAGTTTATATACATAATTTATATATATAGTTCATATAAACACAATTTATATATATAGCTTATAATAATTATATAATTTATAATATAAATATAGTTTATATATAAACCTATATTATATATATATATATTATAAAATTTTTCATTTTTTAAATGAATGCAATTTACTATATTTTTCATTATTTCTTCACATTTTGCATTTATTTCTATTTCATCCTTTTGTGTTTTTTAATTTATTTCAATTTTTAGTCTTTCACTTTTATATGTATTCAATTTAGTCCTTAAATTTATATTTGCATCTTCATTTGACCCATTGATAGTTGTTATTTATATTTTTGTAACTGGCCCATAACTTTTTAAATGAGTATAATTTTAAACCTCACATTTTAAATTTATTTCGATTTGGTCTCTTACCTATGTGTGTTGTTTAATTTATATTTTAAAATTGTATTTGTAACTTTACATTTCTTCAATTTTGTCCTTAAATTTATATTTTTTTTACAAAATTGATCCATGAATATTTTTTTGTAATTTACTCGAAATCATATACAATTACAACTTGCAATTCAACAATCAAGAAAGATGACAAAATAATTAATCCAAAAATAAAAACGACCCGACCTGAACTCAATCTGTATCCGGTAAACATCCGACCTGAATTTTATCTGTCAATGATGTGACCCGATCTGAATGAGATCCGACTGAAGTCCACCTGAACAGATCCGACTGTTTCTGAATTTTATCCGGTAAACATCCGACCTGAATTTTATCTGTCAACCATGTGCATTAGTTGTCGACAAAATCTCAAAAGCTTGTGACGAATATGGTTTCTTTTAGGTTATCAACCATGAACAGTCCTCGCTATCAGGGAGGAAGAACAGGAAGAAACTGTTTTTTCTTTTTCATATTATCTAATGGTGGTTAATGATGGGTTAAAACTGAAGAAGATGAATAGTAAAAGGTTGGTGAAAATATATTAATATTTAAATCCTATGTGACAGGTTATAATATTCAAATAAGTCACGTAATCACACTGTTAATGAGAAAATGGTCGAGTAACAAAAAATCAATATATAAAGTTTAATGATTAAATTGGAAAAAATAAAAGTCCAGTGAATAAAATAAGAGAGAGAATAAAATTGAATGAACAAATTTATAATTTATCAAAAAAAAAAAAAACAATACTCGTAATCAAGTCATAGTCAATTAGTCATACCGTTATTTATCAATCTAATATCGTTGTATTGTTGGATCCA